AAAGAAAACGAAATAGACACGTGGTTCATTTCGAAAATATGCATAGAATAACTTTCTGAGTCGATTTATGAAATTCCGTCTGCATATCCATGTTAAATTGTAAACAAATACGAGGTCACATTTATGATCTGATTTGGATGAAATTGGCACATGTCTATTGTTTGACCCAAGGACGAACCCTATTGAAATTGGAGAAAATCGATTAAGATTAATATATAACTCCCATATATAGACAAAATTTTGTACAGCGTACTGAAATTACTACAGGTTGACGTCCGTGAAGTTTTGTTGAAATCGGTTCCGATTTTATTTATTCCGATTAAGGCAAAGTTTTGCACAGCGTACTGAAATTGAAATTGTTTAAATCGTTTCAGATTTAGGGCATCGTATAGTTGGTCCCGTCCGTCCTTTCCTTACTGATTTTTATCAGTCCTGGCATCGGTATAGCTTGAAAGGTCTCATGTATGCTGTTTTTTTTTTTTTTTTTTTTTTTTTTTATACCAAAATAAATACCATTTATTTTGGTATTTTCTATATTGAATCGATAATACAACATCTTACTCCCTATTTTCGGTTTTCTATTAACAAATCGATTTAGAATGGATAGTTTTACGATACTTTAAAGACGTGGGTAATTACCCGAGTAATTACCCAAAAATTGGGTATAAACTCATTAACTGCAGAACCACTTGACATGGGCGGCCAAAATATTGCTTACATGTTTTTAATGTCAAAGTAAATATTGAAATCGAAAATGGGGTTCCTGGGTCCTCCCGATTTAAGGTATTTATCTCTATTAGGCCCATTTTACGAGCAAATTGGATGTAAATAGGCACAGAGAGTTCTCTTTTGGTACTAAATGTCCATGCAAAAATGTATCGATGTAGTTCCACGTTGGGTGGTGTAGGGGATGATAGGTACCAACCAACGGCTCTGATTGGCTTTAACATGGCGAAGTCTAGGCTTAACTTGGTCCCTCTTTCATCCCCGCGGTGACCTTCCCGCGGTTCATCGCTAATATGTGCCACGAGTTCACCCATAAGAACTATAAAAGAATGGGTTGAGGCGTCGAATTAGTTGCCCACACTCGGAAAACACCTCCTACTATGAAATAGCATAGAAAAAGAAAACCAAACCCCCCTAATGTTGACGACCCCCGCAAATGTATAAAGGACCACGATCTGCGAATCTGCACTTGGAATGTGCGCACGTTGTACAGGACAGACAGACTCACGAAGTACAAAGCCGATGTTATTGTCTTACAGGAAATGCGATGGAAAGAGACAGGCGTAAGTAAATCAGACGATTACGTACTGTATTACAGCTGCCATGAAACGAGACATGAATTTGGCTGCGGATTTATGGTTAACAGGAGAATAAAAGACCTTGTCTCCAGATTCACTTCAGTAGATGAGCGAATTGCTATAATCCGCATAAAAGCGAAGCGAACAAAGATACATTTTACGAGCGCCTAGAAACAGCATATGATCGCTGCCCTGGCCATGACATTAAAATTCTGCTAGGAGATTTTTTTAATGCAAAAATCGGAAGGGAAAATATCTTTGGCCCCACCGTCGGAAAATTCAGCCTGCATGAAGAAACATCCGACAATGGCTTGAGGTTGATTGACTTCGCGACAGCAAAAAAACATGATAGTTAGCAGCACCAGATTCAAGCATCTCGATATAGACAAGCCCACCTGGATTTCTCCTGATCAAGCAACAAGGTTCGCACTTGTCTCAATGTTGCAGCAAAGGTGCGATCTAATACAACAAACTTGACGTCGAAATGCTGCAAAACAACAGGTAGCCGAGGCCTATAGGAGGCAGCAACGTACACAGAATTTCATTTCGGGGGTAGTAGTACAAAATGAAAAAATTCGCTGTTGCAAACATAAATTTACTGTGAAAAAAATTCATTTCGGGGGGGCCCAGGCCCCCAGGGCTCCCCCCCTGCGTACGTCCCTGATAGGAGGTGATGCAAATGTGGTATACCCATTTGTTTTTAGATTGCCAAATTTTTATTTTTTATCCGATTAAATTGAAATTTTACACTTAACAAGCTACATGTGTTGTCTTTCCATGTATTAATTTGAAAAAAAAATATTATTCTAACAATTTAAGAGATATTTGAGAAAATAAAATATATGATTTTAAAAAAAGTGTAGGTAATGTGGTATACCACATTATGTTAATGTGGTATAGTATAATTTTTACTTCCAATTTATATCTTATATAATTCATTGTTTTTAATGAATGTGAATTAGCTCGAGATTTATGTCTGTTAAGATTTTTAACTGATACGTTGAGTGGAACTTTAATTTTATTATATAATAATGTCTACACATGGCAATATTTAATTTTTGTACGGAGAAGTAGTTAAAATCCCATAACCTTTGTTTTTCATCCTTATGATGCATGGTAGGCGCTCGTAGAGGACAAATGTTTCAAATGGTAATGAAATTTTGTCTTGTGCTGGCTTTTTTCATACAGACTCCAGGTATACCACATTACTTGCACTTGTGTTCACTGAATAATTGTCTAGTTTTTTTTTTCCTAAATTGGTAAATATGTGGTGCAATAGCGCATATTATTTGATTTTTAGTACATTCTGATTATTTTAATGATTTCATAATAAAGATTAAAATAAATCTGTAAAACAAAAAATTATTTTTAAACTTCAACCGAAAAAAGTTAATTTCATGAAAAATTTAATTTTTGCTACTGATTCTCAACGTGGGTTAAATAAATTAAACAGATCATTGCTATCTTATTTTTTTTTTTTTTTTTTTTTTTTTTTTTTTTTTTTTTTTTGAGAACAGCAAACCATAAAAATTGTTTCAGTTATTCTAAAATTTTCAGTTTACAAAAAATGTGACTATACCACATTACCAACCTATACCACATTTGCATCACTTCCTATACTCCGATCAACTTACCCACCTGCTTGACGAAAGCACTTCTTGTCCCGATAATATTATAGAAGACCAATGGCAAAGAATTGCCCAGTCCCTTCAAACTGCATCAAAAGCAACACTTGGGTACCAAACACCACCACCAAGAAACCCATGGTACGATCAGGAGTGTCGTAATGCTACTTATGTGATAAACGCAGCATATAGGGCAACCCTGCAGACAGTAGCAATACGTAATGTGATGGAGAAGTATCGGGAGAAAAGGAAAGAGGAGAAATGGGTTTTCAGAACGTGAGCGTGAGCAAATCGAGCTCTACAGGAGTCAGAATGAATTCCGGAAATTTTACCAACGAGTAAAGCACCAAACAGCAGGTTTTGGTGCAGACACCTCCTCCTGTAGAGATGAAGAAGAAAACCTGGTGACAGATACAGACAGCGTGTTAAGGATCTGAAAGGAGCATTTTGAAGAGATGACGGTATAGAATGTATGCCACCTAGCCAAGATAAGGTCAGAATAGCAATTAATCGGCTGAAGAACAATAAAGCAGCAGAAGCCGATGCGTTACCAGCCGAACTATTCAAGACTGGTGGTCAGATGCTAGTCAGGAGCATGCACCAACCGATTAGTACAATTTGGCTAGAGGAATACATGCCCAATGATTAGAACCTCAGCATCCTGTGTCCCGTGCACAAAAAAGGAGACAAGACGATATATTGCCAACTATAGAGGAATTAGCCTTCTTCCCATCGCATACAAAGTGTTATCCATTGTGCTGTGTGAACGATTGAACCCAATGGTCAATGACATTATTGGACCATACCAATGCGGCTTCAGACCTAGCAAATCCATCATTGACCAGATTTTCACTCTGTGCCAAGTCCTATAAAAGACTCACGAAAAACACATCGACACATACCACATCGACAGCCCTATCCGTTCCGAGGTGTTTAGAGCCATGTCTATCCGGCTACGCAGGATAACATTAAGTGGCACAAGGTCAGCAGTTGAAGTCGGAAAGGACCTATCGGAGCCCTTCAATACGGAACAAGGATTCAGACAAGGTGACAATTTGTCGTGTGATCTTTTTATCATCATGCTGGAAAAGGTAATACGAGATGCAAAGGTGAACAGAAATGACACTCTGTACACAAAACAACACATGTTACTCGCCTACGCCGATGATATAATGATATGATGAGTCGAACATGGCGAGCGGTAACAGCCACCTTTGAACAAATTGAAAAGGAGTTTGCCAAAGTGGGTCTGGCAGTAAACGGCGAGAAGACCAATCTGATGGTATCAACGCGCAAGACGTCCAGTAGACTCGGACAAACTGTGGAACTTGAGAACTACAGCTTCGAGGTAGTCAACAAATGTATATGCCTTGGTACCACTATATATAAAATTAATGACATCAGTTTTGAAATTCGGAGAAGGTTAGTGTTGGCCAACACATGCTACTATGGTCTGAGTAAGGAATTCAAAAACAAGGCCACCTCCCGCCAGACCAAACTCATACTTTACAAGACGCTGATACTACCCGTGCTGGATCTGAAGCATGGGTACTTGCGCAAGCAGATGAGGCAGCTCTTGGGGTGTTTGAAAGAAAAATTCTCATTAACTGGCGAACCACTTAAATACCCACAAATGGGTAAATACCCACAAATGGGTAAATACCCACAATGGGTATTTACAATTTAACGGGTATTTACCCACTGCCGATCTCTACTTTGGTAGATAAAAACTTGTCTCATATGTTCATATTTGGACGTAATCTGCATATAATGGTCCCAACCCATTTTGCCGTATTTTGAAGATTTCTAGACACCTTGAAACCTTATTAGCAAGTATCAGATAACATAGCAAATTTATGTAAAACATTTAGTTTTATTAAAATATATAAATGAACGTATGTATGTATTGTGTGGATAACAAAATAGATGACGATTTTAACAAAAAGAATAACAATTTCTACTAAATACTATAATTAACGAAAAACAAAAAAAAAAACATTAACAAATAATTTTTCTAAAAGTCTATCGTGTGGATGGCAGGCCACAATGGCTTCAATGAATACTCCTTCTCTTACTTCCTTCTCTTGATGAAGTAACGGTTGGGTGTGCCGTAAGTGGGAGCAGGTGTGTGAACTTCAGTTTCTTCCTCGGGTTCAGCGACAACAATTGGTGCAGACGTTGTTTCGGGAGCCAAATATTGATTGCTAGGTTCTGATTCTGGAGCTTGGGCTACTTCACCGGCGAAAGCATCCATCGTGGGTTCATTAAAAGCTTCGGGGCCTTGTTCGATATTCATATATTTAGGTTCAGCTTCCTCGGCAGCTGGTGCTTCAGCATTGACAGTTTGTTGTTCATATTCACTGGGATCCATGGGGAGAAAATCGCTGCTGTCTTCAGCAGATTGAGGAGCAGCATATTCTTGAGCTGGTTCAGAAACACGGCGGGTGGCAGGTGGTGGACCGTATACAGGAGCTTCTTCCTTCTTGGTCTTGTATTTGATGAAGAATACTTCGGGTTTGGAAGGTTTGGTGGGAGCTGGTGTTGGAATAACAATATCGGCCTGTGCTTCGGGTTTCTTGTGCAAGACATAGATGAGGGTCTTTTCTTCGTTTTGTGGTGGTGGGGCCACGACTGGTGGACGCACAACAGGAGCAGATGGAGCCTTGATAAAGACAATTTTGTAATGCTTTTGTTTGGGAGCAGCTTGATGTCTGACTACGGGTTGCATAACATCTTCCTCTTCGAAGTCCTTGGGTGGTACATGCACATAGATGTGTTTATGGACTTGGGTTTCGGTGGGGGCATTGGAGTAACCCGACTGGTATTGACTGGAAGTAGAATGGCGGTAAGCAGCGTTGTAGGAATCTTCATGGACTGGCACTTCAGGAGTGGCAACTGCACCATTGTTGGCTGGGGCAAGTGTATCTGGAGAGGGTGGAGCACTGTATGTGGGTACGGGATTGCCAAAGCTGTTGAATGCTACATCTACGGGAATACAAATAATTTGTTAAAATCTTCTTCAAATAGCGCTCAACACATGTAAATACATACCATTATTTTCTACTGGTGGTAAATAATTTACTGGAGGTTCTGGACGAGCCATAACGGTGGCCACTGCCAAACAGGAGAACAAAATGAAGCAACGCATTTTCGAGTTTTGTTTTTCGATATTCCTTTTTCCAAATGATTATTGAAAATTGTATATTTTTACTATTTTATATTCCAGCTGTTTTCGTTGTAATTAATCTAAGCCAGAAAAGGCCAAGCAGGTAACTGATGCTATTTCGAATTGCGCTCAGCACATTTATACAAAACGATTTGGAACATTAGATCTTTTTAGTCGCAACTTCCACTAAAAATCTCATTTAAGTTTCAAATTATTTAATTAAAGTTTCAAATACTCAATACCGGCGACAACCACAACAACAACATTGCCGGTATTTACCGAAAAACAATTAACGGCCAAAACTGACACTACCACCATCATTACCACAGACACAACAACATTCTTGTTCGCTCTCATTCGCCCTAGTCAAGAAAAAAAAAACAACAGCAATAACAACACTCTAATGAGGTACAACAACAACAAAAGCTAAACGGCAGGTGATTTGTATGAAGCAAAAAAAAACATTTAAGATGCGATATGGCAAAAATTCCATTGCTACTATTCCAGATCACATTAAATCGAACTCACGCACACATACACACGAAGGCGGACAGATAGACGAACAGATGTTGACCGGTGATGACGATTTTCGATACGTACCGAATGATATTGAACGATAATAATAGCAATGATTTTGCCGATAATGATGTTGTAGCCCAGAAAACGCGTTGAAACACTTTAAGGCGTACAGGTCACTTATCCGGTGTTGAGGTAGGGCAAAACAAACAGAAACAACAAAGAACTTCAAGTGCTGACCAACAAAACAGAAAAAACAGCGTCCATTCATTCATTCACTCACCTCCACGTTCACATGATGTCACTTGAGGGATACATCAAGTGTCATTGGCAACAGTATCTCTGAATGATGCCTGTCCACAAAATATTGTAAATATTCATATGTGGATATGTGTCGAGCGTGTCTAAGTGTTGCCCGGTTTGTCTATTTGCTATGGACATATTATGTTACGAGAAATAAGTTTGGGAGATACTACGTGTTAATAACAAGGACGTCATTCTTAAGAAAATGCGAGTATTCCATTTAATGCTAATTACATTTTTACCATCCGGCGGATAATTTGGATCTTAAAACATTTGGCGTCATAGCTTCTATAAAGTATACGAAGCTTGTTTAAAATGTATCTAATTTAAAACAAGTGGAGAAAGTTCAAATGTTCAAGAGGAGTCTTATTTTAAACTTTAGTAATTTTTATAGCAATTCAAATCAAGCCAAAAAAATCTCATCTGAAATGGTTTTAGTTTAATGGGTCGACAATATCCTGTCGATAGAACGAACGTAGCATATTTTGAGGAAATCGGACGAAATTAAATATGAGATCTTTATAGCTATAAGAACATATTTTTATTAATCCATACGCATGTCATTCTGAAATCGATGCAAAATGGTATGTCAATTGGGCTGACATAGAGTTTTTGGTGTATCTAGATTGATTTGAAGTTAACTTGCCACGTGCCAATCGGTATGCTGCAGCACGGCGCCCTGTCCAAAAGATTAAGTCGGAAGAAAACATATATGGGGTCTGAATCTAATTTGAAAATAAATATATATAGTAGCTATATTTAAATGTGAACCGAAAATTAAGAAACTGTATTATATGCTCACAGAACCATTCTCTGCAGAATCTCATTGATATTGGATTTTTTTTTTTTTTTGGTAAACACAATGCGGTACGCTAAACAAAATTTCGTCTCAATCGGACAAAACTAAGGAGTATGGTGTACCATTTATAAAAAGTCGAACTAAAATGTTTGTACACAACATTCTAGAGTCAATGCGGTATGGTGTAGCCCCCCATATAACGGTACCCCCCAAAATTCGGTATTTTGAGGATTTTAGACACGTTTCAACCGAATTGACTGTAATTTTGTATTTTTGGTTCACATTGCATAGCACATCTCCGTACAAAAATTATCAACATTGACCCTAGTTTCAGGGTAGCCCACCCCCAATATTCGGTATTTTGGGGATTTTGTACGCGGTTTTCAATCGAATTGGTATAGCCTCATAAAACACTAGCCTCCCTATTAGGTAATCATCTTTTTCTTACGTATATTTCGGTATATTAAGGTCTCTAACATTAGTTCTTTCCTAGGAGCCCCCATTAATTTCGCATATTTTGAATGTCATCCTCATAGTGGACGATATAAAAAGTTCGGTCAGCCGAACTTAACATAGTTTTAACTTGTCGAATTTCAATAGGTTCAATGAATTCTTCCAATTTGGATCATCAATGCGATTTAAATTTTGTTTACACTAATAAATGCACTGACAAACAAATGGTCGACTCAGAAAGTTAATCTGTGCATATCCTTAAAAATAACAAAGGTTCTGCCTCATTTCCTTCTGCCAGATACAAACATATGTATGCACAAAGAAATAAGGCATATGACAGGGTATACAAATTGTAGGATACTAACATGTCCCTCCGTTGTAATAGCGAAATAATTGGAATGAGGTGCTGGAAATTTGCACACTACTGTTTTTTGTCTGCAATCATGTCAAGTTTGATGATGGTATCGGTCCACAATAATACGGAGTTTATATTAATTTCATTTGCAACATTAAATGACAACCGCGATTTTTTAAAATCTAGTTTGCAGTCAATTTTGTAGAAGTTATATATCGGAACACGTTTTGATATATACACGTTTGGTATATATAACCATCGATCGATATGGGCGAAATTTTAGATGTTACATTCACACAAATTTTAACCGGGTACCGGGTATTTTTATACCCTTCACCACACTGTGGTACAGGGTATTATGTCTTTGTGCATATATTTGTAACAGGCAAAAGGAAACGAGATAGACACATGGTTCCTTTTGAGAATATGCATAGAATCACTTTCTAAGTCGATTTAAGCATGTCCGTCCGTCCGTCTGTCCATGTATTTTTGTGAGCAAAGTACAGGTCGCATTTATGATCCGAATTGGATGAAATTTGGCACAGCTCATTTGTTTGGCTCAAGGACGAACCCTATTGAAATTGGGAAAAATCGGTTCAGATTTAGATATAGCTCCCATATATAGTTTCGTCCGATTTCATGTAAATTGTGCACCAAAGTCCCTATATATCTTTCGATTTGCACGAAATTTTGCATAACGTACTGAATTTAGCTTAAAGTGATGTCTGCCAAGTTTCGTGAAAATCGGTCCAGATTTAGATATAGCTCCCATATATAGTTTCGTCCGATTTCATGTAAATGGTGCACCAAAGTCCCTATATATCTTTCGATATGCACGAAATTTGGTATAACGTACTGAATTGGGGCTAGAGTGATGTCTGCCAAATTTCGTGAAAATCGGTCCAGATTTAGATATAGCTCCCATATATATTTTCGTCCGATTTCATCTAAATTGTGCACCAAAGTCCCAATATATCTTTCGATTTGCACGAAATTTGGTATAACGTACTGAATTGGACCTAGAGTGATGTCTGACAAATTTCGTGAATATCGGTCAAGATTTAGGTAAAGCTCCCATATATAGTTTCGTCCGATTTCATGTAAATGGTGCACCAAAATCCCTATATATATTTCGAATGGCACGAAATTTGACATAACGTACTGAATTGAGCCTAGAATGATGTCTGCCAAGTTTCGTGAAAATCGGTCCAGATTTAGATATAGCTCCCATATATAGTTTCGTCCGATTTCATGTAAATGCACCAAAGTCCCATATATCTTTCGATTTGCACGAAATTTGGCATAACATACTGAATTGATGCTGGAATGATGTGTGCTTAGTTTCGTGAAAATCGATTCAGATTTCGATATATATATTTTCGTCCGATTTAATCTAAATAATGTACCAAGTTCCTACGTTGCATAGCGTTTTGAATTTAATCCAGAATAATGTGTGCCAAGTTTAGTGAAAATCGGTTGAGATTTAGATGTAGCTCCCTTATATTATAGATTGATTTTAAGTAATTGACGCACCAAGGAACCAATATATGGCTGATAAGAACAAAACGTACTGAAATCAGTATAGCCTAACCTGTGACAAGTTTCGTTGAAATCGGTTTATATTTGGATATAGCATCCTATATAAGTAAATTGTGCATCAAACTCCTCATATTTGTTAGATTGACATTATAGAATAACAAACGAATGACATGTTTATGGATAGATCTAGGTCGTTTCACATGTAGGTAAATATCACATATTTTATTTCATACAATTTCATGATAATAGTCCTGTTTAATATACTCATAGTGGTGAAGGGTATCATATAGTCGGCCCCGTCCGACTTTACTACTTTCCTTACTGGTTGGATTTTGGACACGTTTTTAAATTTTGGATTTTTATGGTCTACCACATATATCGTATTATGTTCTATATTTTGGGATAAACTCTAAACCAACGATAACCTCCAATTTCCGATATTTTAAAGATTTTGGCTGAATTTTCCTATCGAATAGACTATATTTTGAAACTGTTCAGGGACCAAGATTACGTACAATAAGTTAGATTTGGATTTAATTGAAATAAAAATCCTTTTTATAACAATATTCATAAAAAACCAAAAACAAAATAAATCTTTTCGTTATTTTTCCTGTGGCTGTCAAATCTTTCACTGCGGTAATTAAAAGCATACACATGTATACAACACCTCCATTCGATTGTAATTCAATCTTTCAATCAAACACCATTCAATAAAGCTTAAAAATACCACAGTTTTCGTTGTTTCAACCCCGTCATATGATATCGACGATGAGTAAAGAGTGTCCATTGCGTTCTGTGTTCATATTTCACACACATACTCAAAACATACTCGTATATGTGTGCTTATATATTTGCCTGCACTTCAGACACCATAAATCCCATCGTCGCCCCATTGAGAAGTCATTATAAAAATGGACTTGTCAGTCAGCATTTGACTGCTGTTGTTGAATGTCACCACATAGAAGTGAAGCTTTAGTAAAAATTGCTGTACTTGTTGTAGATCAATTGAAGTGTTAG